AACACATCTCTGTAGAAAGATATAACATCATCATTTATATTATCACAGTCCAGCTCCTTCACAAAGACTTTCTTACCCATCACAAACTTTTCCTCTAAAATAAAAAGAAAATAATAACAATCTTCTAGCGTTGATTACCAAATTAAATCCATAAAGTGCCCTATACATTAGGGATATATTAGGTAAAACCTCCTAAGCCTGTAGATGGACTATGCTAATTCAGTAATGAAATTCTATGGATATACATAAAACATCAAAAGTGGTGTGTGTGTGTGTGTGTGTGTGTGTGTGTGTGTGTGTGTGTGTGTGTGTGTGTGCACCAGTACTGAGGCTTTAACTCAGGGCTTTACACTCTTATTTGTCTTTTTTTTGCTCAGGTTGGACCTTTACCACTTGAACCACATCTTTACTTACATCTTTTTTTCCCATCCTGGGGCTTAAACTCTGGGCCTGGGCACGGTCCCTGGGCTTCTTTTGCTCAAGGCTAATGCTCTACCACAGCACAACTTCCAGCATTTTCTGAGTAGCTAATTGGACATAAGAGTCTCACAGACTTTCTTGCCCAGTCTGGCTTCAATCTATGACTCTCAGATCTTAGCCTCTTCAGTAGCTACGTGGCATTAACCACCACTGCCTAACTACTTATGGCTTTTTAATTGGAGATGAGAGTCTCATAGATTCAACTGCTGGGGCTGGCACTGAACCACAATCCTTGGCTACTAGCCACCTGGGATCTAAGCTAAGATTATAGGTGTGATTCACCAGTGCACAGTTTAACCTCAAAAATGTCCTGTGTTCCTGGAAAGGTGATTTTATTAACACTGTTAAATGTGATACCTCTCAAAGTCTATTGAGAAAGTGATACATTGTTTTTCCAAGATTGATTTGCCCTTTACATACCTATGAACATTTACCCTAGTAGCATCCCTCCTATATACCCTAAGAACTGCTGAACTAATTCATTTGCTACTCAATTCTATCAGCTGGACAGCACTGAGCAGAAAATGTTTTCTGGTATAAGAAAATACATTGCTTTATCTTAAGATGGGATCAGCTGATACATACTCTTAATATACTAGGTTACAGAACATTAAACACGTTCATCATGTTTAAAATCCATTGATTTCTGGAACTGGAGAATGTTTTAATATGAAAAAATGAATACTATTGAGTTCATGCAATATAAACTGTGGCTTTTGTTTAAAAACACCCCTGTAGGAAGGTTGAATATGGCATTCCAGGAATAGTCCTTGAGTCTATGTGACCCACTAATAACAGCCCTGATGACCAAAGCAAAAGAAAGTATCATAATGAGCAGCTCTCAGGAGATTCCACACCAGTCACTGCTACAGAAAGTAAACAACGATGATAAGGAAAAAGGCTTCTCATACTGGAACAAATCCCAACAGTGAAAATGGGGTAACGCCCAAAATATAAACATCAAGTTATGAGAAAGTTTCCCTACTTATATTAAGTGGGAGAAACCATGTAAATAAGCTACTGAATCTTAAGGATTACATCCCAAAGGTCTCTACCCTTCATCAAGTGCTGATTGCTGTCAGGAAAACAAGTTAGTTTGGGCCTCGCAGTTTTATTTACTAAAACACTAAGTGGTACACTTGAGTTTTTGAATAGGTTTCTGATTTGCTGATAGGCTTCTCTAGTGTTAATCATCTTACACTAAAGCAAAACACAAATGGAAAACTGAGATAAAGTATGAGGGTCAACTGAGATTCCATCTGGCAATGCAAGAATTAGTAAGTCCTGACTGGCCACCTCATTCCCCTACTCTGTTTGTGTGCTACATTATATAAAATCTATTTCTTCCCTGGGATGTTATCTCAAGAACGCTCCTATTCAAGCTAGCTCCTAAAGCCTCTCTAAAGTAAAGCAGTTAAAAATTCAAGGCCACAATCTAGGTCATAGCAAGTCATGATGAGCTCTCCGCACAGGATCATGAATGGCTGGGGGGACAAGGAGCAGAGGTTAGGACTGGACTGAGCCAAAACAGTGCTTTTATTATAAACTAATTCACCCAGGGCACCCTGCTGATACTTCACAGCTGACCCTGAAAGCCAAAGGCCACTGCCAAGGCCACATCCTACAGATGGCAAGGAAGGCCTTCGCCACCACAGGACAACTGCCATGGGATATACTTCATTCTTCCTGGAAGGCCTGGGTAAACCATTCATCCAAAGAAGATACCACAGAAAGTACATTTATCTTTGCTCATAAGACAGCCGACTGATCTGTTCTATAATCTTAAGCTTAAGAATCAAGTGTTAGAATTCTGTCCAATTTTCCACCCCACAAATGTCTGAGATCAAATCAAAGAAATAGTTACTGAATTTATCAATACAAAAGTCACCAATCTCAGGCTACCCAAGAGTGATCTAGAAACCACAATGTACTTTATAGCAAGAAAAAGGGCATCTCTAGCCTTCTGTAAAATCTGCTCATTTGAAGAACTAGAATAATTAAAACTGAACAATGGAAAGTGGCACAAATAATGAAATATAAAATGCTTAGTGCAATTTTCTAAAAACACCTGGAAGAAACCCCATCTTTATATATGAAATACTAAAACAATGTCATTTCAGGACAAACCTCTTCTCTCCCTCTTCTCCTCCCTATCCCTCTTCCTTTGCCATACCTCATTTCCCTATATAAATTAATGATACTGTTTGCATGATGTGGGTATTAGCATTATCTGAAACTAGTTAAGAAGTGAAAATTGCTGGACCTCCACTGTACTTCTACAGAATCACCCAACAACCTGTGCTTTAACAGGAGATTGATGCTCATCTCAGACCCTCTACCATAGGATCAGGGAAAACACAACTTGGGGTTGCTGGGAGCCATGTTTACTCTTCCTGAGTGACAAACAAGCTCTTCTGTCCTTGTTTCTGAGTGGTACTGGCCTTAAATCTCACAGAATGATTTCAGTTTCTGAGACTGAGTTCAGTCCTTAGTTCAAGGTCATGATGAGAAGCCAAATCAGAGTTCCATCCCAGGGCTTTCTGATTTCGTCCTCATCCTTGGCCCTTAAAACAAGGCCTTGCTGACCTGACATTCTGAGGCCTGGCATGACAAATGTTGATAAGGCAATCATGGTAGTCTCCTAATCTATACAACACTGCCAATCTCAGAGAGATGTGAGGGACTTCCAACCCTTAAAATCAAGAAATATGGATTTGAGGAAAGTATGGAGCAACAAAACCTCTTGATGAGGTATAAAAAGAGGATGGATTGTTAGAGAAAGGATTTATAAATTTTAAAGATCAGATGCAAAGACAACACCCAAAGTATGAATGATATTTTAAAGGTTTTTGTTGCTGCTGTTGTTTTGTTTTACACGTTTCATATCTATTATCTCTCCCAAGCATCATAGTAGCAATGGAGAGGGCTAACTAAGGTCGTGATTATCTCGCATTGGATAGAGAAGGAAACTGAAGTTCAGAATGGTTAATAATGTGCCCATCCGCCCTTCAATGAGCTGGAAAGCTATATGTGGCCTATCTCATTCTAGAACCTGTGCATTGTGTCACATCATTTGATCCTCACGTCCGGAAATATTTCCCAAAGTCCCCTAACACCAAGGTAAAAGCACGGAAGAAAACTTAAAGCAGCATTGGTGAGCCCCTAAATCAGGGCACTTGAGCAGTGTGTGGGTGCTCCTTTAAGAACTTAACATACAAACGCAACAGCTAAGGTGTTCAGCCAAAAAAGAAAAAGAGAAGCATATTTCTAGCCTGCATAATCATTTCTGGACTGATTCCCACTAGCAGCCTCAGAGGCGAACAAGGGCTCAGTGCCTAAGCTAAAGCTCAAACACCCCCTTGGGTTATGACAGCTCAGCTGTGCTCGTGTGCAAGCAAAACCCCCAAACTCAAAACAAGAACTGAAAGAAAGTGAAGCCAGGGAAACAAACAAACAAACACTGACATCTTCCATACCCTTGGACTCTGCAGAACACCAGTTCCCAAGCCCTAGGGTTACCCAAAATGCCACCAGGGAGAGGGTGGAATGGGGCAGAGAGCACTGTTGTTTGGACCTTATTCCTTCCCACAGTTAGTCCCTGTGGAAGATTAATAAGAAACACGAGATGGGTAGCTATAAAGTCCTGGGTGGTCATCAAAAGCACATTCACCACCACGCCCCCTCTTCTAAGGAACAATTATGCTGTTCTAAACTTCCCTCGAGAGCCTGACCTCTGGGATGTTAAACCAGGTGGGGTTGTAGAAGTGTGGACAAGAAGAAAAATTCATCCATCTACTCAGGCCTCGCTGTCCTGCCAGGGGGTGAGGAACGATTCAGGCGCGCAGCAATAACAGCGAATTGGGAGCCTGGCGCCCTTGACCCCGTGTGCGGCTGGAAGAGGGAGCAGCAGCGCGTCGCCCGGTGCAAAGCCCGGGCGTGGGGGTGGGGCAGGGAGCCAGTGCCCGCCAAAAAGAGCTCGCTTCGGGTTTGGGGCAGAAGTCATTTTCCTAAAGGACGGCAAGGTTTTATAAAGATCGGGGGTGATGTGCTGATTTCCAGCTAAGGAGTGAAAGAGCTTCATGGAAGTGCGCAGCGACCACCCCCCCCCCACACACACACCCTACCCCCGCTCGGGGTGGGCCCATGCTCCCACGGGGGACAGTGAGGAAAGAAGGGCTCCATCCTCAACTTTCTCGGAGGAAAACCCTCTCTCGGGCTGTGAGGTTTTGCCCAGTCTCGCACTCACACCGGGTTGCTAGGTAGGTGTGGAGTGGATCCGAACCCAGTCCCCTTCCGCGTGCACAAAGCAACCGCGCCGGAGCGCGCGGCCCCTTCTCCCGCAGCCCGCCAACTTGAACGCATCCCTCGTGGCCCTCGCCCACTCCTGCCCACTGCCCCAGACCTGGGACCGGCGCCCCAGCAGCCGCGATCGCATGCCTCCCTAACCCCACCACCACCACCACCCCACCACGGCCTGGCCTCCACCTGGACCGCTGGGTCCCCCTAACCCCCAGCCCTACCGTGCAGCCTGGCTCGTGCCCGGGCGGTGCCAGTGCGCGGCACGCGTCCCAACCGGCGACACTCCTCTCGAGGAGCTGCTCGGTGAAGAGCTCCGAGCTCCGGACCAGGTTCTGCCGGCCCCGGCGCTGGCTGGCGGCTGCTCGCTTGGGCTCCGGCTGCGACGCGCGGAGAGGGAGGGGTCGGGGGAAACTCCCGGCAACTCCAACTCCGGGCGCCCCAGCTCAGCTGCAGCCGCGCGCCCGCCCGCCGCCGCCGCCGCCGCCGCCGCCTAGTGCATTCGCCTCCCTGCGAAGCCAACCTGCCCCCCGCGGCTGCCTTTGAGCATGCCCAGTGCAGCCCTGGGCGAGCCAGCCGAGCGCCCCGGCCCGGGGCAAAGAGCGAGGGTGCTGCTGGGGGCCCGGCTCGCCCCCAGGCTGCGGAGCTCAGAGAACGCAAGCCAGCGCGGGAAGGGAAGATCGGGGTAGGGGCGCGGACCCCGAGCCAAGGACGCTGCAGAAGCTGGTCAATATGGGAAAGGCAAAACGAGTTTCAAGCTTGTTGGAAGTTTGTGGGCTAGAAAGATGGGGTGCTTCTGTGAGCCTCTATGTGAGACCAGGGTAGAAGCAGGCGTTTATTCCTGGCTTGTTTCTTGTGTTTGTTTTTGTTGTGTGTGTGTTTGTGTTTTGGTTTTGGATTTTTTTTTCTTTCTACAAGAAAGAGCTAGTAGGCCCAGAAGATTTTTTTTTTCTATTCAGTCCTTCCTGCTTGGGGTAGCCAACTCCAAGAGCTAATGGGGTCTGGCAGGCAATGTAGTGAGAGAAAAGGATGGAAGGAGGAGAGCTGGAGAGAGCTCTGAAGGCAGGTCAGCTGCTTGGCTCCAAGTGTCCAGCTGGTAGCCCACAAGCATTCAGATCTGGTTTTGCTGAGTTTTTCTGCTTTTTTCAATAAATGGCAGAAATCTAGCATTTTTTATTCATGTAAAATATCCTGGTTATGGAGCTGGGAAGGTGGCTCAGGGGTGGAGTGCTTGCCTTGCATGCATGAGGCCCTGAGTTCGATTCCTCAGTACCATATAAGCAGAAAAAGCCGGAAGTGGCACTGTGGCTCAAGTGGTAGAGCACTAACCTTGAGCTGAAGAGCTCAGGGACAGCGCCCAGGCCCAGAGTTCAGGCCCCAGGACTGGCAAATATATATATATATATATATATATATATATATATATATATATATATATCTCCTGGTTATTAAAATCTTTACAATAAAGTCAATCTCCTGGACCAAACAAAAATATCTGGGTCCCTTTTCTGCTCAGCCAATTTGAGCCAATGGTGTGTGTGTGTGTGTGTGTGTGTGTGTGTGTGTGTGTACAGTTGCCAAATGCCCACTCTGGTTTGGGAAGGAGCTGGAAAGGATCCAAGATGATTCAGACTGTCTTCAAAGTACTAGGGGAAATAGGTTTTCCTGACAGAAGACAGCTGCTAATAAACGCTGGCACATAAAAAAGAGAGAGAGAGAGATAACTAATGTAGAAAGAAGTTATGAGGACCAATTTTGAGGAACTCAGTGACAGATAAGGATCCTGTGTTTATTTGAAAGTTTGATAAGTTTCCATCATGCATTTTTACATGAATTTCTATTTTTTTAAGCATTGTATTAATCTTGCTTACTGAATGCTTTGGAACAACTTTATATTCTGTGTACTACCTTGTCCTAGCTTGATTGGGGTAAAAGAGGCCAGAGTTAGCTTATGGAAATGGAAAAGAGGACTGGAGGAGTGGCAATCAGGCCTGAGCACCTGATTGCCAATCTATGGAGCCTGCACTTTGTTTTGAAGGCTGTGTGGGGCCAGGAGAGGTGCTAGGGAAAGTGAATAGTACAATCCAAACTGAACTCTGGGAAGATGGACAAAGCAGTAGAGCTAGAAAGGTGGTTTGCAGGGGAAATATTGGTAGGAATGGAGAACTCTAGGGGCTGTTTGCTCTATCAGGGGGATTTCCCTGATAACATTGTATGTGTTCTGCCTGTCTCTGGAGAGATGGTCAGGTCAATTTAATACCAACACGTGGTTCTTAGGGTTTTGGTCTAACCTCAACCATTTCTCTGTCAAGTTTAGAGTTGGACAAGCTACTCCAATTGCGAAAGGGAAGACAATTCTAGAGTTCACGTGAAGATTTGGAGAAAATTATCTCTGAAGTGTTTTTTCTAAATATTGAACCTTTAATAAGCAAATGGAAATATTACTATTATCTATGTGTCTTAGCAGCAAATTCATTGATTTAGCAAACTCTTTGAATGTGCTGGGATGTTGTTTATAAAACTTTGGTGTTGGTCTGGTGCTGGTGGCTTATACCTATAATCCTAGCTAATCAGGAGGCTGAGATCCAAGGATCATGGTTTGAAGCCAGTCTGGGCAAGGCAGTCTGTAAGAAACTACCAGTAGTTGTGGCTCAAGTGGTAGAGTCCTAGTGTTGAGTAGGACTCAGTGGTAGAGTGCTTGCCTAACATGTATGAGGCCCTGGGTTCAATTCTTCAGCATCACATAAGCAGAAAAAGCCAGAAGTGGTGCTGTGGCTCAAGTGGTAAAGCACTAGCCTTGAGTTGAAGAGCTGAGGGACAGCGCACAGGCTCAGAGTTCTGGCCCCATGACCAAAATAAAAACAAAACAAACAAACAAACTTAGGGATAGTTCCAGGCCCTAAGTTCAATCCTCAGTACCAGCACAGAAAGAGAGAGAGAAAGAGAGACAGAGAGAGAGAGGAGGGGGGGGAGGGAGGGAGGGAGGGAGGAAGGAAGGAAGGAAGGAGGGAAGAGTGGGAGGGAGGGAGGGAAGGAGGGAAGGAGGGAGGGAGGGAAGCAGGGAGGGAGGGAAGCAGGGAGGGAGGGAGAGAGGGAAGAAAAGGAAAAGGAAAAGGAAAGGGAAGGAAAGGAAAGGAAAAGAAAAGGGAAACAAACAAAAACGTTGGAATCAGTGAGAAGGTTGAAAGGGGTGACATTGATCAAGATGCATTGGTTTATGAATGGCAGCTCCTGAGCTGGGCAGCGATAGCTCATGCCTGTAATCCTAGCTACTCAGGAGGCTGAGATCTGAGGACTGCGGTTCAAAGCCAGCCTGGGCAGGAACGTTTGTGAACTCTTATCTCCAATAAACCACCAGAAAACCGGAAGTGGCGTTGTAGCTCAAGTAGTAAAATGTTCTCCTTGAGCTGAAGAACTGAGGGACAGTGCTCAGGCCCAGAGTTACAAGCCCCATGACCGGAAAAAAAAAAAAAAAAGAATGGCAGCTCCTTTGTACAAAAAGGTTTTTTAAGAAAAGAAAAACTTTGGAATCAGCATTTAGATGATGCAACTATTTTATGAAGTCAGACATTCCCATACTATACTGGTTTCAATTGCCAGTCACCCCTACAACTACCTTCTCTTTAATCTTATCTTTATCATTATTTTTTCAGTTTTGAAGGTTTGGCCCAAATCAACATCTCTGTCCCCCCTTCTCTCTCACACACACATTTTCTATACAAATTATCATCTAACTCACATTCAGATCATCAGTAGACTACCTGCTTTAACCAAACACCTGGGACCTACCTCAGTGCTATGTTGTGAGTGAATATCCCTGAGGTCCCTGTTGCTGTTTTCATGGAGAACAGACCATTGCTTATCTCTGGGAAGCATTTTAAGCATGCAAAACTTTCAAAGGGGGAAAAATACGGTGTGTTTATTCAAGAAAGTTTCCAAAAGTTATGGAGAGGAGGAAGTACCTAATCCAGGACCTATCACATAACAGGTAGTTGCAAATATTTGCAGAATAAACAACTGTTGCATTATCAACGTCTCTGTTCTACCTCCCACTGTTCCTAAGAATTATTATTTTTAAAAATCACAATAAGGGTAAGGTCATCAAGAAGAACAAGAACAGGATGTAAACATTTATGTAGGGAGGGGCCCTGTGCTTTTGCAAGTAAAATACTTTGCTTACATTTTATGGTGTGTGTGTGTGTGTGTGTGTGTGTGTGTGTGTGTGTGCATGTGCATGTGCACATGTGCCTGCTAGGGATTGAACACATGACTGCATGTGGATAAGTATATGTTCTACTAGTGAGTTATACCAAATTTTACATTAATTGGATTTAAAAAGTCTCATTAGTAAATACTACATGGTATTCAAAAGAAATTACATGTAAAAAGCACACCAAACAGAGAAAAGATGGTTTCCTTCCCCAATAGCTACTGCTGTTTTACCTGTTTCTTACATATAGTTTCAAAAATACAGGATGCACAGGTTTTTGTTGTTGTTGTTGCTGTTGTTAAGTCTAATCATAGCTGGATATTTGTGGCTCATACCTGTAATCCCATCTTCTCAGGAGTCTAAGATCTGCAGATTGAGGTTCCAAATCAACCTGGACAGAGCAATTCAAGGATTCTTATCTCTAATTAAGCTGCAAGAAGCCAGAAGCAGAGGTGTGGCTCAGCTGGTAGAGCCCTAGCTTTGAGCAAAAAAGACAAGTGTGAGCATGAGGCCCTAAGTTTAAGTACCAGCCAGTACTGGCACTGACATACATGCACACATGCGCGCGTGCACGCGCGCGCACACACACACACACAAACACACACACAAACACACACAACACACGCACACTAGTTTAATCAAAACAATATCTAGATGACAAAACAGTTATATAGATGCCAAATTAGAGACTTTCAAAACTGTTACATTGTGGGAAAGAAATGATAAGCATAAAAGTAGCCTTCCTTTGTGGCATAAGTAAGTTCAGGGCTGCAAGAAAACCCAACCACATGGAAAACCTCTTGGGAGCAATAAGTAATGCCAGGAAAAAAATCTTAGTTCATCTGATAGTGCCCTGGGATTCATGATATCCACTGTGAACCTCAACCTAAAACACCCACGAGGGTAGATATCTCAGGTTGCCTAGGGCTGTGGAAGGAATGCTGTCTAAATAAAATGGTATTTGTTGACATGGACACAGAGAACTTGATCCATAGAATTAGACATTATAACTATTTTAATAGCATCACATGAAATAGTATAATCAATCATGTGTCTTCAATATTTGTAAAATCTTTATGTATCCTTTAAGTCCTTCTACTATCCAACATAGCT